TCAAATTTTTAATTAAAATCTGAAGTCCAAATCGGTATATATGCTGTTATATGTGTTTTTTATAACAAAAAGACTCACATTGAAACTACCTTATTAAAACTGTGGAAAAAACAAGCAAATGGGTAATATATGGTTAATTTAACATTGTCTTGTACACTGAAGTTCTCTTAGCTAATTATTTTTTAAACCATGAATGTTTTCAGTAGATAACATTAATTGGAAGGTTGTTTTATTAGTAGTTGTAAATCATTCAATATTTTAACATTAGGTTTTAAAACTAATTACTGCAAGGTAACTTTTTACTTCTGTTAATATTTACTCTAAACATTTCTAAAGAGGGTTTTTTGAATTTTCTAAAGAATCACAATAATTTCTCCAGTAAAACTTTCTAAAACTGCAAGAACTCATAATTACTTAAAAACACAAAATCAACTCTAAAAGGGTATATAAAAACATTTTGAGAAACCAATGAATCATGACTTTTTAACAAACTGGGTACTATCCCAGTGCTTCTTCTTGGAGAGGGAGCGGGGGGGTGAACTGCCCCACTCTACTGCTGAAGGTTTGAGTGAAGTCTTCACCATCCCCCACATAAGTCTCACAGAGGAGAAAAACAGAGAGAGAAAAAAACTCACAAAGTTAACTTCAACAAATGCAGTTCTTTCTCTCAATATTTCTCATTGTTTGCAGACAGAGGGAAAAGGACACAATTTTACAAAAACAGACAATGTCACATGAAAAGCCTCTCAGGGCCAGGTGGTAGCAGCAGTGACCATTGCAGTTTATCAACTTTTAATTATAGTGATGAATTTTGAACTAGATGCCATATAGTTAGCAATTTTTTGGCTATTTTGTCTCCCTTTGAAGCTACTTGAGCCACCTCTTTCTGTAATTGCTGATATTTGTCCCACGTGGCCTTGGAGCTTCTTCTGCAGTGCTTGTACCATGGGGGGTGCTTTTGTTCTCTGTGCATGTTCCAATGTTCCCCCCATGCCCCCCCTGGGTCGGGTGAAAACTGATCTAAATCTGGCTTCTCTTCAAAGGTAGAGTTAATATCTTGTCCCTGTATGTCCACAATCAATTTAAAAACATTGAACATCTCCTTATTTTCTTCTCTCTGACTCTCCCCACTCTCTCCAAGGATGGCAAAGACAGGAATGCTCGCCTGGTAGTGGGAGGGAAAGACAGCTGCTGCTGTGATGCAGGTAGAATTACAGGGCTCGCAGCCTTGAGCAGATCTTGCTTTCATGACTTTTAAGGTATTAATTACAATCTGCCAAGTCAGACCAAGAGACAGTGTCCTTGCTTTTCCCTGTAATTGTTTTCTCCCACAACTGGTCTCCTATTTCTCTCCATGCTTCCATTGCAAGAAGCAGTGGAGGCATTTTCAAGCTTCTGTTTTCTCTAGCCCATAAAACGAGCTTTTCAAGGTTTGACTTGACTGCTTTCCTTCGTTTAACAATAATGCTTTGAAGCAGTTTGTGCTGCCGCAAATACAATTCCCATGCTAGCAGCCCTGGACGGGGAGAGGGGAGCGGCCCCTCCTCCCTGAGTGCCAATGCATACTTGCCTTCGGTCTTCATCTCAGGCTCGTGCCTCCTGGCTTTCCCCAGCTTAGCTTCGCTTCCACGTCCAACCGCCATGCAAACCTGCCACCCAGCTCTGATCCACTTCCACGTCTAACCACTGTGAGAATCCGCTCTGCCAGCCCCGGTCCGCTTCCACATCCAACCATTGTGTGAACCTGCTGAGCCAGTACCCTTTACCCACAAAGGGTCCCTGTTTGGGCACCAGGTAATGGAAAACCTCTCAGACTATTCAGTGAGTCCTCATAGAGGTATAGCAAATGTCGTTTATTTCTATCTTTAGCACACTTTTATAGGGTCCTACAGGGTTCATGCGGCTTAACAAGCTACTATTGGTTAATACATGCTGTTTAACTTTCTTTTCCTTATACACAATGCCATTGTTTTTCTTTATTCTCGCTGTTTCAGGAGAGCTTCAAGGAGACTGCCCTTAGAATTGTTGCCTGGATTGAAAGCTGGCTTGTGCAGACAGGCTTTTACTAAAATATCATGCTTTTGCTCTGTTAAAATGTTTTCCTGCATTGTCCTACATACAGTTATATTTCAGATGAAGTCTTTAGTTCTAATAATTCTAAATTCAAATAATACCTTAAAATGCCTACCAGCAAGGCCTGATATAGGTGCCCCACCTCATGGTCTGACCACCAGGCTGGAGTTTGATCTCTCTCCCCCCCCTCTCTTACGTTCTTGGTATCTGTGACTAATAAAATGTTTTCTATAAAGTGGATTTGTTTCAATATAAGGAATGTGAAAGGAATTCTACTTCTGAATAGTCAATAGCCTTATAATCTTAGGATCCTCCCAAGAGGTAAGAGATGATATTTCCAATTTCTGCTTGTAAATCCTACAGACATGGGATTTAAAGTTGTCTCCACTACCTCTCCTGTGAATGATTTAAGCACAAAGCTGCACTGTATGTTGAGCTGAAACTGTAGAACAGTTCTGTCAAGAGAGATTAGACCTTTTCTATGGTATATCAAATCATAAAGAATTATGAAAATTATGAATATTTAGGCTGATATTAAAGATTCAGTGTTCCACTCTATTTAATACTTATTGCTGTATTTCTGTAAGGAGATGGAATGCCCACAATTATACTCTACATGATCCCATAGGATACAAATTGTGTATTCATCATTGCAGATGGGATACAGAGACATTTCTCCCTCCTTGTGAAAATACAGCTTGTGCCTGACAATTTAAATTCACAAATAAATTTTTAATTAACATATGTATCAGTAATGACAGGTTTTTATCTTTTTTTCCTTTTTATTTCCTTTTCCTTTCCCTTTCTCTTTGCATTTTTCTTATGGGTCAAATAATTAGTTTTGTTAATCATTCTAATAATTATATCACCTTTTCTTTAGTTGTGAAAATTTGTCTCCCAGTACTTTTGTCAAATAGTATTTATTCAAGTAGGATGAGACTACTACTGCTTTTTGGAGAAGAAAGAAGGACCAGAAAACTGCAAAGAACTGAAAGAGCAGCATTACAGAGACAAGCACTCTGTGAAGGTTAACCAGTGTGAATATATTTACTCTCCAATTACCTTTAGAATTTACAAGAAGCCTTATTTTAAAATTAATAGAAAAAGTGCATCTAGAATTGTGACTTTTATTTAAAACCCAAGCCCAAACACCATAACATTTAAAAGCCCACATTTTAACAGAGCAAAAGCATGATATTTTAGTAAAAGCCTGTCTGCACAAGCCAGCTTTCAATCCAGGCAACAATTCTAAGGGCAGTCTCCTTGAAGCTCTCCTGAAACAGCGAGAATAAAGAAAAACAATGGCATTGTGTATAAGGAAAAGAAAGTTAAACAATATGTATTAACCAATAGTAGCTTGTTAAGCCGCATGAACCCTGTAGGACCCTATAAAAGTGTGCTAAAGATAGAAATAAACGACATTTGCTATACCTCTATGAGGACTCACTGAATAGTCTGAGAGGTTTTCCATTACCTGGTGCCCAAACAGGGACCCTTTGTGGGTAAAGGGTACTGGCTCAGCAGGTTCACACAATGGTTGGATGTGGAAGCGGACCGGGGCTGGCAGAGCGGATTCTCACAGTGGTTAGACGTGGAAGTGGATCAGAGCTGGGTGGCAGGTTTGCATGGCGGTTGGACGTGGAAGCGAAGCTAAGCTGGGGAAAGCCAGGAGGCACGAGCCTGAGATGAAGACCGAAGGCAAGTATGCATTGGCACTCAGGGAGGAGGGGCCGCTCCCCTCTCCCCGTCCAGGGCTGCTAGCATGGGAATTGTATTTGCAGCAGCACAAACTGCTTCAAAGCATTATTGTTAAACGAAGGAAAGCAGTCAAGTCAAACCTTGAAAAGCTCGTTTTATGGGCTAGAGAAAACAGAAGCTTGAAAATGCCTCCACTGCTTCTTGCAATGGAAGCATGGAGAGAAATAGGCCAATCCTTGTTTGGATAAGCATTTTTCCTAAACTATGTCATGGTACATTTAGTCATGACATAATTGTCTCAGGATAAATATAGCTGATTGCTCCTACATGTGATGTCTACCCTAATTACCAGCCATCAGCAAGAAAAGTCATACAGAATCTTTTGAGATTATCTGGAAAGCTCAGTACTCTTTCCATGAGATAACCATCTTAACCACCTCTCTCGCTTTTGCCTTGCACATAGACTTACCCATTTATCTTGCGCTTCTTCAAAGCATTTTGAAGCATCCACCACAACCATGTGAGCAGATAATCACATATCACAAAGTTCAAAAACAAAGCATGTATTCAGCAGAGAAAATGCAGTATACAAAAGACATAATTCTGTATGTTTTTCCCAGGGGTTCAGAAAAATTATTCTCTCACCTCTCATGCTGACAAGGAAAATATAAGTAGGTGGATAGGTAAGTAGTTAGATGTTGTAATCCTTCTTCCCGATGGGACCCCTCTGTCCCACCCCCCGTGGTGAGAGCCTGCTCGTCTCAAGGCACAGGCGGCCAAGGGGGTCCTGGAGTGGATACAACACGGACTCAAAGTATCTAGACACAGGAGGCTCAAACTTGCTGGAATAATCCCGGGTTTATTGTCTGTCGTCCATCCAGGGCAAGAGAGAGCCCGAAATGCTCTGGGTCTCATCTCTTATACCGGGGGCAGGGGTGATTAGGGGATGCAGGGAGGTCACAGCCAATGGGAAGGGGGAAGGGAAAGAAGGTTCTCAGGTAGGAACTAACATTACACAAACCAGAGGTGAGTTTTACCCTTGGGAGGTACCAAGATTTTTAGATGCACTACAACACCTCACCCTTTTCTGTTATACAAAAATGAGAAACATGGATTTGAGTAAGAGGTAGGTTATTTCTAAAAAAAAAAAAGGAAACAGAAATTTTTTAAAACATATTCACAGTTACAGTATGCAGGTCAGAGGCTAGAGAGGTTTCTTCTTGCTCTCTTCAGCGGCGTCTTCTCTTGGAAGCAACAGCCACTTGCTTCTCTTTTCTTCTTGCTGGTGCTGGATTCTTTGAAACAAAAGGTTTTACCCATTTCTGAGGAATCCATCGGGGGCCTGAAGGGGTGGATACACACGCATAACCTCGCCCCCAGGTGACAAGTTCATAGGGACCCTTGGTTTGCCAAGTTTCAGGGTCCCTGATTAACACCGGTGGATGCTGTGACAATTTAAACTGATCACCACTGTTAAAATGTCGAGTTACAGGAGGATTCATGTTTTCAAAGGAGCAGTTTAGGAAGTTAATGGAAAACAGAGCTTTACAGAGTTTCTGTTGTGGAGACATCCACACTGCTTCACTACCTTGCCGGGCTAGGACTTGTTTGAGCGTCTGGTGGGTACGCTCGATTACAGCCTGACCTGTGGGGGAGTGGGGGATGCCAGTTTTATGTTCCACTCCCCACTGCTGGACAAATCCCAGGAACTCCTTGGATTTATACGCTGGGCCATTATCTGTTTTAATTTCTTTAGGGATTCCCAATACGGAAAAGGCCTGCACTAAGTGTTGTTTAGCATGCACAGACTTTTCTCCTGCATGAGCAGAGGCATACACCGCTCCTGAGTATGTATCAATACTCACATGTACATACTTAAGGCGGCCAAAACTGGGAATGTGAGTGATATCTGTTTGCCACACCTCACAGCTCTTAAGGCCTCGGGGATTAACCCCGATGCCTAATGATGGCACTGCCTGGAGCTGACAATTGGGACAGGTAGCCACGATGGCTTTAGCCTGATCCCGTGTCAGCTGGAACTGACGAATCAGTCCTGGCACATTTTGATGGTATTGCTGGTGACTTATTTTTGCCTGCTGAAACACATCTGGGAGACATACCTTTTCAGCAGGGGCAGCAAGGGAATCCGCCTTCCGGTTCCCCTCAGCGATTTCACCTGGCAACGGGGTGTGCGATCTTATGTGCATCACATAGAAAGGTTGTTCTCGATTTGAAACCAAATCAATCAGTTTTGAAAGCAATCTAAAGAGATGCTCGTTCTCAATGTCCTTGAGAACTGCCTGTTCCGCTCTGGACACCACTCCTGCTACGTAGGCTGAGTCAGTAACTAAATTAATTGGTTCTGAAAATTTCTCAAAGGCTCTCACGACCGCAGCCAGTTCAGCTATCTGGGGTGACCCCTCTACAAACTCAACATCAGCTTCCCAAAGCTGAGTCTGTGGATTTCTCCAAGTCATCACCGACTTGTGGGATGTCCCAGATGCATCAGTGAACACTGTGAGCGCTTTGAGTGGCCTTTGGCTCCTTTTCTCATGAGGAATGAGATGGAATTCCTCATGAAACAATTTGTGTGATGGTGCATGAACTGAAATTTGCCCACTAGAGCTGTCCAGAGCTAACTGGAGGTTAGCATTGCTCTGCAGCAGATGCTCAAACATCTCTTTGGTCAGTCTCTCAGGGGAGTTTTTGCCTTCTCCAGAGAGCCTGACTGGGAGGTGAATACACATAAAGTCACAACCTGCCAGTTCCCGCAGCCTTACCCTGGCCTTTTGAATCAGCTGAGCCATCAGCTCTTGTGGCTTGGTGATAGTTTTGGGTCTTTGATGGGAGAGGAAGACCCACTCTATGATTAAGAGTGCATCTCTCTGCCCCTCGGCCCATTGGAATATTAACCCATGCAGGTGTGGCAATTTCCCCAGGACAATAAATTTGAAAGGCAGCTCAGGTTTGAAGCGGTGTGCCTGTCTTTCTGTCAAGGCCTTTTGTGCCTTTTCAATGACAGTTTTTGCTTCTGGAGTCAGCTCCCTGGGAGACAGTAATTCTCTCTCCCCTTTCAATAAATTGAGTAGGGGGCTCAGGTCCTCATTTGTGAGACCTAGCCATGGTCTGACCCAGTTTAGTGACCCGCATAGGGAATGGAGATCTGCTAGAGTTTTAGGATTACCAATAATTTCCAATTTTTGTGGAACAACAGTCCGTGCAGTAATTTCCAGGCCCAGGTATTTCCAAGGTGGCATCCTTTGAACTTTGTCTTCCTGCAATTGGAATCCAGCAGAGGTTAAAACTTTAACCACTAGGTCAAGGGTGTCTTTCAGTATGTTGTTATTGGGACAGCATATTAAAATATCGTCCATATAATGCAAAATGATAGCCTCTCTCTTTTCAGCACGCACTGAGGACAGCAAAGACCCCACATACCACTGGCAGATGAAGGGGCTGGCTTTCATCCCCTGAGGTAATACTGTCCAGTGGTACCGTTTCATTGGAGCTTCCCTGTTAATTGTAGGAATGGAAAAGGCAAACCTTGGTGCATCAGCTGGATGCAGGGGAATTTGAAAAAAGCAATCTTTAATATCTACTACTGCTAGTAGCCAATCTTGTGGTAGCATGGTTGGAGATGGCATTCCTGGTTGGAGAGATCCCATGTCTTGTATTTTTTTGTTTATTTCTCTTAAATCTTGAAGGAGACGCCATTTATCTTTCCCTGGCTTTTTTATTAGAAACACCGGGGAACTCCAAGGGCTGGTTGTTTCTACTATGTGTCCTTTAGCCAATTCTTCTTCCACTAATTTTTCTAGCGCCCCAAGTTTTTGTTTGCTGAGAGGCCACTGGTTTACCCAAATTGGATCATTATCTAGCCAAGATAATTTTTGGACCGGACGCTCTACAGTGGCCTCTATCAAAAATCCTGAGGTGCCTCAGGGATTGTTAGTTTTACCCCCCACTGCGACATGGTATCTCTCCCCCACAAGGGGCACTTGTAGTCAATAACAAAAGGTCGGACACTAGCTATCCTACCGTCCGGACCTTCGATCTGGATGATATCTCTAGCAATTTTTGCCAGTTTCATCCCTCCAACACCCTGTATTTTCCCTGCCACTGGTTGTAGGTCCCAATGTGAGGGCCACACCTTTTCCGGTGTGATGGTCACATCTGCCCCAGTGTCAATTAACCCTTCTACATGGAGATGTTCTGATTTATGTGTTAAATTGCATCCCATAATGGGCTTGTTTTCACCCACTACTTCTGCCCAGTAGACTCCCGGTGCTTTGTCATCTACTTGGACTTCTGTTGGAACAGGGATTACCTGGGCTATTACTTGCCCTTTATCTACACAGAAAGGTGGTTGGGGGCACCTAGCTAAGAGGATGAGGTGTGTTAGGTCTCCCGTGATTGTCATGGGAGCCACCTCAATCTCTCTTGGTGTGTGTGCTGTGTCTCCAATAACAAAATACCTACTATCCAGTCCAGCCAGGTCTTGCGAATTATCCTGCAAATCTACTCCCACGACAGTCCAGCGGTCAGATCTGAAACAAAAAGCTTTAGAAGTTACAAGTCTGAATCGCTTTTGCGGTTGCCAGACCTTATTAGGCAAACATTCCTCACAATTATATTTTTGCAGTCTCCCACCCCGCTCCCTTTCCTCCCCTTTTCCCATTAAAACAGAGTCTTTTTTCTGCTGTTTCCCTTGTTGCTGGGTTTGAGGACAGTTCCTTGCAAAATGTCCTGGCCTCTTGCACTGGAAACAGACAATGTGCTGCAGCTGTCCTGGTGACATCTGTGGCTTGTTCATTCCTGGTGTCACTGCTGCTACTGTCCTTGGGTTGTCCGGTTTCTTGTTGTGTACACTGTACAAGTCTGCTTTCTGGGCACATGCTTCAATCATATCTGCTATGGTGGGTGGAGGATTGATAGGAAGACTCAGAATTACTCTACGACAAGCCTCGTTGGCATTTCTTTGGGCCATTTCTTTAAGCAGTTCCGTCTGGGCCACTGGTTCTTTAACTTGTCTCTGTATCTGTAGTCTCAGACGATCTACAAACTGTAAGAAACTCTCACATGGAAACTGATTAATACTAACATAACTGACTTGAATATCAGCTGTTGGTAATTGGTTAAAAATGTTTTCAGCCACATCACAAACTTTATCTGCAACAAACTTTGTTAATACTCTCACTTGATTGGCAGGATTAATCCAATTTCCCTCCCCACATAAATGTTCTAAAGTGATTTCATTGTTCTCTGTATCATGTGCATTTTGATTACTTTGTTTGAGTTCAGCTAGGAGTTTTGTTAATGATCTTTTCCATAAGCTTTCCCAAAGATCATATTCAGAGGGAGTTAGCAAACACCGAAATAAATCTTTAATATCTGCAGGAATTAAATCCTGTGATTTCAATGTAGTTCTTATTATTCCCCTTAAGACTTCACTATCACGACCAAAATAATTTTTAATTTTACAAATATCTTTGATTACTTGATAATTGAAAGGCTGATGTTGTAATCGCATTGCTGCTCTGCTGTTATTGTACACTACAGGGGCTGCTGTTAGCATAACTTCATCTTCTCCAGGGCTGGCATTCCCTGGGCTCCTCAGCCCGCCCCCGCCCGGCTCCGGGGTGCCTGTTCCTTCCCCACACCTGTGGAGAGACACAGCTCCTGCCCCGCAGGAGCCGGGCGGGGGGCCGCCCCCCCCCACGCCGGGTTCCGGGGTTCCACCCCCCCCCCGCCGGGTCCTGGGGGTCCGCACCCCCCCACGCCGGGTCCCGGGGGTCCCATTCCCTCATCGGGCCTGTGGAGAGACCCCGCCCCACCCCTGCAGGAGCCGGGAGAGAGCCTGCGCCCCCGGGGGGCAGGGCCGGGACACCCCTCCCCGTGCCCCTCTGCAGGAGCAAGGGGTGTAACTCTCTCCCTCCCCACCCCTCCTCTCCGCGGGACAGGGGCCGGAGGGATAGGGGATAGGGTTACAGCCTCGGGGGACAGGGTCATAGGGTGGGGCCAGGCAGGGCTGGGGGGTGGTGCAGGGTGGAATGTCAGGGGGAACAAAGGGATTTTGATAAGGGTTAGGGGCGGGAACCAGTGGGTGGGAGGGATCATGGGTAGGAGAAAGGGGATACACAGGAGGATTCACCATGTGGCCAGGTAACACGTGGCCAGTGCCATCTTGGCTCTCAACCATGTGGGCAAAGCAAGGTACATTTTCTGTAACACTGACAGGGTATAGGGAGGGAGCCTTGATGGCTTGTGAGGCAGGACTCGGTGACTGATACAAACACACCGGACTAGAACTTGTATTGTTTGTCTCGGGTATCTTTTTCATTGGGGGAACAGAGGTTTTGGGGTTTGGGGGAAAAGTTAGGAAAGTTAGGTGGATACTGTGGTGCTTGTTTGTCTTCCGTTTATTATTTCTCTGTTAACTAATTCTTTTCGAATTAAAAGAAAACCAGGAGGAATTTCAGGGCCGATTTGTCTCCTCCTTCTATTTTTAAGGTTAATAAATTTCCAATTTTATCCCAGGCAGTTACTGAATCTAATTTCAACAATTCGATCTGTTCACTTTGCTGAGTCAAATATGATACAAACTGTTTTGAAATGCTTACGTTTGTGGTTTTTAAAAAGTTCTGTATTTTTTGTGTATGACTCCTTTCTTGCGTGCATAGCCGGGATCCCATTTTGGAGGTCACAGCAGCTCTGCACACAATCTGTCTACAGATTTTCCCTACCACAGAAAACAAAGTTGCACCAAAAGGATTACAATTAAACTCACACTCTACAGACAGCAGGGAGAATTCCCGCTCCCCCCCCCCCCCCCGTCTCTGCCCACGGCTGGGGGAACCTCACACACTCATGGCTGCTGCCGCTGGGAAGGAGTTACAGAGAACACAGTCCCCCAGGGTCTGTTTCACTCTCCACCCCTCCCAGCCCGGTGTCGGAGTTCAATCTTACCTTTTTCTGTCATTTTCTGGCGGTGGAAAGATACTTGTTGCCCTGGAATCGATCCTCTGGTGCTGGAGGATTTTCGACTCCTTTTCAGAAACTTTTTTTGCTGTATTTTTTAAACTGCATCCAAAGTCTCCAAAGAACGGCTCACCCTGGCTCCGATAAGCCTTTAAACGTGGGCTTGTATAGCCCCACGTTGGGCGCCACTCTGTTGTAATCCTTCTCCCAGATGGGACCCCTCTGTCCCACCCCCCGTGGTGAGAGCCTGCTCGTCTCAGGGCACAGGCGGCCGAGGGGGTCCTGGAGTGGATACAACACGGACTCAAAGTATCTAGACACAGGAGGCTCAAACTTGCTGGAATAATCCCGGGTTTATTGTCTGTCGTCCATCCGGGGCAAGAGAGAGAGCGAAATGCTCTGGGTCTCATCTCTTATACCAGGGGGCAGGGGTGATTAGGGGATGCAGGGAGGTCACAGCCAATGGGAAGGGGGAAGGGAAAGAAGGTTCTCAGGTAGGAACTAACATTACACAAACCAGAGGTGAGTTTTACCCTTGGGAGGTACCAAGATTTTTAGATGCACTACAACAGTTAGACATACAGACACAAGAATGAGTTCTTTCAGCAAATCTGAAAAAGAGAGAAGAAGGGAAAAGATGTGAATATTCTCTCGGCAGAACAGCTGAGGTAACTGTTAAAAGACACAAGTCTAAACACTGAGCACAGTTTGACAATAATTAATTAAAAATTAGTTACTGTAACTTTTCCTATTATAGGTACAGAATAAATTTTCATTGAGAAAATTGCTAATTTTCAGCTAGCAGTGTTTCTTGTTAATTTGTTTGTTTTCCTGGACCTTTTTCTTTCCATATATTTCTTTGGTTTGTAGAGGCTGAGGCCATATTATTCTCTAGTATATAACTTGGGTGGGAAGAGATTTAATCCAGGCAAGGATATCTCCAGATAGATTTCTTTTGATATAGGAGTGTTTAACAACTAACCTAAGGAAAGATGATGGATGTTTCAGTTATACAGAAATGTCAAAGCAAACACAGAAAATATTGGATTGGCTAGCATTCAGCACAAACAGTTTCACCCATATTTATATCAACACATGATGAGTTCGGCGGGAGAAAATGCAGCACTCAATATGAATGATCAGCAAGTCTCGTTTATTAGCAACTCTAAAACCACTTATATAGCATCAGTAATTAGGCTCATACATAGTGCAAAAGAAAGCTCATTATTGGATATTTCATTTAAGGTCAACTCCACCTAATTCTACATTCCTGTGATCGCTCATCTATGCTGAATTCACATTCTTCTGATCACAGCATCCTGTTCTCAGTTAACAGTTATCACTAAGGCCTTCCTGACTTTGCAAAATCTCACACCAACTGTACTCCATTGTCTAACTCTTTCCCAGATAACTGCTGCATGGGAATATGACCTTTGCTCTCTAGCCATTCCTCCACAAACACACATGTTATTGTACAAAATCAGTATCACAGAACAGATGATATTGGAAAGCACCTCTGAGGAACAATTAGTCTGAATCCTTGCTCAAAGCAGGGAGATGCCTAGAGCAGACTTCCCAGGATTATGCCCATTCACATTTTTATCATCCCCAAGGAGGAAGATTTCACAGCTTCTCTGGGCAACCTGTGCCAGTGCTCAGTCACCCACAGAGTAAAATAGGGTTTCCTGATCTTCAGAGGGAACCACAAGGGTATGTTCCTGGTTCAAGATCAACTTGTTGCCCATTAGGACCCTCAGGTCATTTTTCTGCCAAGCTGCTTTCTAGCTGGGTAGCCCCCAGCCTCTGTTGGTGTCACCTTCCCAGGTGCAGGACTTTTCACATCTCCTCACTAAGGTACATGACGTTCCTGTCAGCCCATTCCTCCAGGGTCTGGGTGTCAATATGACCTTCGGATGCATAAGCTACTCCCAGTTTTGTATCATCTGCAAAATTCTTGAAGGTGCACTCTATGCTATACTTCAGATCATTAATGAAAAGGTTAACACAGTATTGCCCTCTAGGGTACTAGGGATTTTGTGCTGCTGATCACAGCTGCCTGAGATAGGCAGTTCAGACAGTTTTAGTTCACCTCACTGTTGTTGGTCTAGACTGCACTTTATCCCATTGCTGTGGAGGGCGATTGGTGCTCCAATCTAGAGATGTCTGCCCTCCCATGGAGAAGACGAGGCCTAAAGGCTGAAAAGCTTGTAATGACCCCCCTGAAAGCCCTCAGCGGGCATCACTCTGGCCTTGTGGTGGTAAGAGGAGCCACCCGTGTGCCTTGCAACGTATGTTAATCTTTTGTATCCTATTGGCCCTTCCCCTTTTGTTCTGCCCCTGAGCCCTCAGCTCACTCTCCTGCTGCTTTACCCCGCTCCCTGCTTTTCCCTTATTAACCCCTGCACCCTCACACGTCCCGGAGAGCTCTTGTCCCTGCACCCTTCACAGAGTGCTCCCATTATAAAAAAGACTCTGTCTCTGTGGAACACCATACCAGGCTCTCTCTCTTGCCTCCACATTGCTGGGAGCTGACCTGCTGCTCTGCAGACACATCTCATTGCACCAGGGTCCTTCCTGTGCCCCGAGAGCGTGCCCATTAGGACACTTCTCTAGGAAGGTCACAGCACCCCAAGAAGACCACTGCCTGCTGAGACACTTTGCTACTAAAAGTATATGATAAAAATACTGTAAAAATGTAGCATAGGTTACTTATTCTGTTAATTGCTTTTACACCTCTGTCTTCCTATCTCCACCATGTCTTCAAGGCTGTATAGATGAGGCTGCAATTTTTCCGTATTTTTATGATATATGAAAAAGAATTCAAATCAAATAAATAAGAAGTTAGATATTTTCAAGGGTGCTGCCTTCAGCGAGGCAGAGGACCTGGTTCAGGAACAGCACGGTGACCCTCCCCAGGTCACTCGGTCCATTTGCACACAACACCAATGTGATGGATGGTAAAAATGGCGTTTATTGGTGAAGAATTTGACACTTTATAACCTAGGTTCACAGTGTCACTCCCATCTGCTTTCATCACAGCTAGGTGCTATTGGCTAATTAGGGGGGTCGTTACCATAAACTATGGAGGAGGGGGGTGACTGTCTTTCCGTTACATCCCGAAATCTTCCGACCGCCGGGCCCTAGCTGCCCACACAAGGGAATCACAGAAATAAGATTCTTGCTTCATATTTATTTGTTTTGCTAGAGTAAGTGTTTTCTACTAAATAATCTAATTGTTGTTAGCAAAGCTTTGAGGATAAAATATGGCTTTAGATCCTGTTACACAGAAGTTTAAAAATATATCAATACTCCCCCCTCAAAAAAATCCTCCAAACAAAAAAAAAAAAAAAAGACCTTTAAGATCATCAAGCACAATCCAGCACGATGACCATGTTCACCACATCCTCAAGTGCCATACCCAAATACTTTATTCAATGCTTCCAGGGATAGTGTCTTCACCACTTCCCTGGGCAACCTGCTCTGATGCTTCACAGTCCATTCATTACTCTTTCTCCTAATACCTAATTTAAACCTTCCCTGATGCAACTTGAAGCCATTTCATCTCATCTTGTCACTTGTTTCTTGGGAAATGGGGCTGACCCCCACCTTGCTATAACCTCCTTACAACTCACTGTGGAGAACAATATGGGCCTCCTTTTCTGCAGGCTAAACATACCCAGCTCCCTCAGCTGTTTCTAACAGGACTCATGCTCCAGCCCTTTCCCTAGCTCTGTTTTCTTCTCTGGACACATCCCACCACCTCAAAAAATTATTTCTGCTTAGAGGTCATTCCTCCAAGTCAGTAGCTGAAGCTGGGTTGGGAACTTTCTTCTAAAATGACCAGATAGTTAACCTTAATTGCTTGGGGGGTTTTCCATTCTAAAATGAACCCTTATTCTTCAAAGTATTTATCTTTAGGGAATATTCTACACTTTTCACATTTCCTGTTAGCTCAGCCATATGCCATTCTGCCATTGTTTCATGCGAGCACTAACTCATTGTATGTTTGGGAATATCATGTTTGTATATGTGCTGTGATATCACAAACTCAATATTTGTTAAATGGGGGGATACCTGCAGCTAAGCATAAGAGAAAGTTCTGTATATGACTTAAAATCAGCATCTGAGCTATCATGGCTTCCTCTGGAGCTTTAACAATGATAGAGGTTTCATGTTTTTCTGACTTTTGAGTACTATCTTATAATTTATAGCAGACAGAAACTGAAACATTTGAGGTCCAACATTCCATTAGTAATTTTGCATTTTAAACATCTGCCCACACAAACATCAGGAGTTATAGCTTATGTGTTCACTTACTGAAAGAGTTGATTACAACCAGGTGGCCCTTTAAAAGTTCCATGGAAGCTCTAAAATAAGTGAGAATGCTGGTGGAGGGTGGTTTTCCTTCAGCTGATCATGAGATAGCACATGAAGGCTCTCAAACACCTGCTGTTTATGTCACAGTTTTAAAAACAGCTGAGAAAATTAGAAAAATACTGATTTTGTGGTTTCATTATGTCATACTTTACAAAATACAATTTTGATTTAATTTTCATTTTCCAGCATAAAAAGTGAAGTTTCCTAGCAAGTTTCAATTCAATTGTTACAGTAATCACTGGTATGGGGAGTAATTTTCTTATATATACATATACATATACATATACATATACATATACATATACATATACATATACATATACATATACATATAGGTGTATGTGTACATGTACACATACATGTATATATTTTTTATATATATATTTCAGTTTACAGATGAAAAATTCTGTTTTGTCAGCATTGCCAAGTATGTTTTCCCTTAAGCTTATCTTCCCATTTTTTTGTGATCAGCTTACTGATTCACAAGGAATTCAGGAGGATTTAACTCACTTTTTTATCCTTAACCTGGGTGCAGTTATAAATTCAACTGCATATTTTTACTGGGATCTTTTCCCATGGTATAATGCTAACCTGTCATGCAGTCAAAAGTCTTAACCACTAACTAATATTCATCATGTGATCAGAAGGCTTCACAAATTCTTCTAAAGCTCATATATTTCCATGCTACAGGCAGCTACTGAGATGAGAAAAATGGCATACCAAAACCCTCTCTAAAACAACCATTTAGGCCACATTTCAGTCAGATCATATTGGAAACCAAAAGAGGTTAGCTCAGGATGCAGCATCTGGAAAGTGACCTAGCAGAAAAGGACCCTGGGGATGACGCTCAACAGCAGCTGAACATGAGCCAGCTGTGCCCAGGTGGCCAAGAAGGCCAAGGGCATGCTGGCCAGTGTCAGCAATAGTGGTGCAGCAGGAGCAGGGCAGTGACTGTCCCCGGTGCTGGGCACCACTGTGGCCACAGAGCGAGTGCTGTGTTCAGTTTTGGGCTCCTCGTGACAACAAAGACATTGAGGGGTTGGAGCATGTCCAGAGAAGGGCGATAGAGCTGGTGAAGGGTCTGGAGCACAAGTCTGATAAGTAGTAGCTGAGGGAGCTGGGAATGTTCAGCCTGGGGGAAAAGAGGCCTAGCAGTGACCATATTGCTTTCTACAACTGCCAAGAAGGAGGTTGTAGCCAGGTGGAGGTTGATATTTTCTCCCAGGGAGCAAACAACAGGATGAGGGGACACAGTCTTAAGCTGCTCCAGGGGAGGTTTAGGTTGGACTTTAAGAATGACTTCTTCACGGAAAGGGAGACTGGACAGGGATGGGCTGCCCAGGGAGGTAAGTCACCATCCCTGGAGATGCTTAAGGAAAGACTGGATGTGGCATTTAGAGACATGGTCTAGTTGATATTTTAGTGTTCAGTCATAGGTTGAACTGCATGATCTCAGAGGTCTGTTGTAATTTGATTAATTCTGTGATTCTGTGTTTGATTCAATTTGTTAATTTTGGGGTTGGTTTTTTTTTTGAAACTTTTGCATTATAATTTTGTAAGATCTCATAACTGACAGACAGTGCAGCTTATTCTAAAGCTACATGATGCTTCTTGTCAACACACTGTGCCAACAACTATATTATTTTTCATTTCAGTTTTCATTTCGGATATCATGTCTCTTCAGCTCTATGCTTAGCATTCTTTTGGGAAGAACACACTAACTTGAAACTAAGTCTTCAGTATAGTGCTAATCTGACCTATTTAATTTAATTTATAAATGTCTATGAATACATGAAAGTAGAGATGTTGCAAGTTAAAAGTGAAAATTAACTGAATGACTGTTGTGCCAGCAGTGCCCAGGTTTTCTCTTGTTCTGGGATATCACAGAAATGTGTTTTTTAAAAGACATTTGGAAAACAAGTGTTTATCTTTTTACATATTTTGATAATTCAATGATAATTCAATAATTCTAACATATTTTTTTACAAATTTACATGTTTCTTCATTTAAATATTGGGAGGGAAAAAGTAATTGTAAATGCAGATGTAAATTGCAAAATGAAAGCGTTCTTTTTTCAAAAATTCAAGAGGAATTCCAGGCAGCATTTTATTGAAGTACAGAAGACCAAAATACAAAGGATGAGAGAATGCCAGAACAAGAATATTGTTTTGCTCCTTCACATGCAAAACAATCTGGGTGCTAGTGATAACCTTGACATGTAACACATATATATATCCATTTGAAGACAACCATTAAAGAAGTGGTTTTAGGCTAAAAAAATCTGATTTTGTTGTAGTCTGGCTTGTTAATTTCATTCAATTTGATAGTTAATATGATAGCTAGAGAAAAATAAAAACAAAAGTTATTCCATGCGAGGAACCTGATGTGCAGCAGAGTTTTGTCAGTATGATGAAGTTGGTACCATAGAAAAGAAATTTATAGTGTCATTCATTCAGCTGCACAGGAAACAAATCTATCTATCTATCTATCTATCTATCTATCTCTTGAATAAACACATATTTAAATTTTATATCTGTAGATTTGTTGGCCTTTCTTGAATGCATTTTGGTAAGACAGTGGACTATTCTTTCATAAAATAG